CAATTACTGGAAGACGCTATTGACCCTGCCTTGACTGATGTTATTGAAAATGTTCCAGAGTATGATGAAGATCATTTGATTTTTCAACAGGACGGTACTCCTCCGCATTATGCGTTAATTGTCCGTCAGTATTTGGACCAATGTTTTCTACGGAATTGGATTGGGAAAAGAGGCAGCATTGAGTGGCCTCCACGATCACCGGATTTATCGCTCCTTGATTTCTTTTTGTGGGGATACCTAAAAAGTAAAATCTATAAAACACAGCCAGCATCGCTGGAACATTTGCGTCAAAGAATCGTCGACGAATGCCGTCGAATCACTCCGGAAATTCTTTCGAACAAAATCTTTATTCTTGTATGGAAGCGGGCGGTCATCAGTTTGAACATTTAATTAACTAAGTAGTAAGTAAGCAACTAAACATAATTTAAGTTTTAAAATGTAAATTTTTTTCAAACTATTGGGTGGAATTATAAAACCTGTTGTAAAGAGAATTGTAAAAGCTTTCAAAAGAAATATTACTCAACCTCCAATGCCATTTAAATATTTTGCAGTGATGCTTACTCTTGCTTGCGGGTGAAAGTGGCGGAGTCAAGAATACCAGCAAAGAATGTCCCCCTTTAATCGACGGGTCTGAGCGTTTTTCTACAATCTTGACGCAGTTTCTGAAAATGGCACTGTTTCGTTTTCATTTGGCCACCCTGTATAAAAGTGCCATTCTATACAGGATGACAAACTTAAAAAACTACAGTTTCTTACTTATTTTCTAAATTAACAGAGACAGACTAAATTTGGTACATACCATACGTTGCCTTAACATAACTTCATATTTTCTAGACAACCAGTGGCGAACAAACGGGTAGTCATTTTAATTAATTTAATAAAAAGGTATGTTTACGATAGTTAAGATTTTGTTGTTTATTGAAAGAACAATTTAATAAGCAATAACATAAACAAAGAAGCTCTGGCAAATTGGCCAGTCCAAAACCACATTTTTAAAAATACTGTTATAAACTGTTGGGACCAACGTTATAACTGGACCGCTCTATATAGAAATTAGTCCAATATGAAATAATTCGAAATTAGTCCAATATGAAATACTACTGAATATATTATGCAGTTTACCTCATTTTAATTTTCCTAAAAACCCTGTCAAATAAAGTCGGTATTCTTTAATAACAAAAATCTAGCTATGCGAAAGATATCTAACCTAAAAAATTGTTAAATAAAGTAATCTATTCTTAGCATTGTATTCTTATAACTATAACATCATCCTTGACAAAGACCAACACGCAAACATAGCCACGATAGAAAGTTCGTTGTATTTGTACATTTTACTTAGGAGTGCTTTTTCAAGTCACCTTCCTGTAAATGGACGTATGTTGAATATAATAAAAGAAATAAATAAAATAAATTAATTTTTAAATCCTTTTCATATCTTTACTATTAATCTTATAATACATATTTATGCTGCGAAGCAAAAGATACTTTTAATGATAATAATAATAGTTTATTTTCCGTGACGGCATTGTATAGAAATAGTCAAATAAAAGTTACAAGTTAAGATAGTGTCGACAAAAATGCCAATATAGAATAAAAACTATCATATATATATTTTTAATGTGTTAAGTAGTTTGTTGTAAATTTTAGGTAAATTCAGCGGAAAAAATTAAAAATTTTTGCTTCCCTTTTAAAAGGTTCAAGGGCTTCATTAAACTTTTTTGGCAATCCCACCTATCACCTTTATTCAAGAGCTTTCTATGATGATTTATCGTTTAGTTGTCACTGTTCAAAGCATACCATTTCGCACAATATCTTTTGTTTCGATAACACAGGACCACAAAATATATAACAAAATATAACCCTAAACTTTCATAACTCAATAACCTGAAAATCTATAACCTCAAAACTCATAAATTTCAAATCACAATAAACTGTAAACACAAAATGGGTAAAAAAAATCAAAAACTTACACGCAAAACTGAAACCTCAATATAGGAGAGATTTAACTTTTTAATAGGTACATCATACAAGGTATATCACTTCATAACCATAAACTCCATAAACCCCATAACTCCGAAATCCCATAACCCGGAAGCCCCATAACCCTATAACCCCAAAAGCCTGTAACCCCAGTAATCCAAAACCTCATAACCCTATATTAAATTGTGACATGCAATTTTCATATGTTACACTTCAGGGTTATGAAGTTTATGCATTATGAGGTTATGAAGTAATGGAGGTGTAGAATTATGAAGTTAAAACTCTCCGAGATTGAGGTTTGAGTTTAGCTTGTAAGTTTTTGTTTTTATTTTTGCTCACTTTGTGTTTGCAGTTTATTGGGATTTGAAATTTATGAGTTTTGAGGTTATGGGTTTTAGAGATATACGTTATCGATCTCAAGGTTATTGAGTTATGGAAGTATAGGGTTATATGGTTTACGGATTGATATTGTTGGGTTTCATAGTTTCAAGCTGTTTTTTGAGGTTAGAAAAAAACGCTGACGTAATGGGGCAAAACAGGTTTCGGATTCGGTTTCAGCGACACAAAAAACATATAATCCACTTGGTCTGGTTCAAGGAACCCTGCACTCATTTTTGTTGTGGTCCTGTGTAATCATTAGTATCTGCAATATATTAATCTAACATTTTCAATAAATCGAAAAATGAAAATATACTTACAATAAAAGAAATTCTTTTAATTGGGTTTTGGTAACAAGTTTCGTTGTATTAAAAATTAATAGTGAATCAATTACCACCACATATTTTAAAGTTCTAAGTAATTGGGTGTATTTAAATGGCTTCGTTATAGAATTACTACTAGAATGTCTGTTTTTATCGAAATTTCAGAATACGAGCTTTATTTGATTACGCTATTGTTTATTTCAGAAGGTAACGTAACCATACGTTTATTTATACTTATTTAGCGTACAATTTCGCTTCCTTTTTATCTGCGCAAAAAAACAAGTCATATTCATTATATGAGTTAAATGGAGAACGTTTATTAATTAAGAAAAGAATTTAGAAGCGAAATTCACTTAGGTAATAGCTACTGTCTAAAAAAAACATTTCTCTAAACCTAGGGAAACATTTTTTTATTGGATACACCTGCAAAAAAAAAATAAGGAAACAATTAGTTCGTAATTTGCAATATATTTTAAGATATGAAAGAATACTGCCCATTTGGATATCACTTAAAAATCAAGAGTCTAGTACTTTTTTAATAAATCGTAATCTTATATATAAAATTCTCGTGTCACAATGTTCGTTCCCGTACTCCTCCGAAACGGCTTGACCGATTCTCATGAAATTTTGTGAGCATATTGAGTAGGTCTGAGAATCGGCCAACATCTATTTTTCATACCCCTAAATGTTAAGGGTGGTCCACCCCAAAATTTTTTTTTGTTGTTTTTTGGACAAAATTTTATTTTTTTATTTTTTTATGATGTGGCCTTAAAAAATACATACAATCCTAAATATTCACCCTTCTACCATCAACCCTTATTTTTTAATAGCGATATTAGTAATTCAATAATTTTCAACCCCGGTCGATAACTGATCAATTATCACTTGATCATTTTTTTTATCCCCGCCAGGCGTCGACCGGTGTCACTTCTGACCCAGTAAACAGCACGGAGTAGGGATGAGATCTCTCTCACACAATGAGCCGTTTCTCACTCCCTACAGTTTTCGGCCATTATTATTATTGTTTGTGCATCAACTATAATAATGACATTTACTATTACCATTCATAAAAAAAATATATACACGATATACACTGAATAACACTAAATATAATATAGATGGTAGAAGTGAAATTTCTTTATGAAAAATCTACTAAAATAATCCTAGGAATAATTTATATGGCAAAACAACGTTTGCCGGGTCCTTCTAGTTCTTATATAAAAATACGTATTCATTGAAAGTATTTAGATTCTTCTTTATATGTCATTAAACATTTTCAAACTTTATGTCGTTGCTACAAGGCCTTTGGGAAAAAATATACTTTTATCAAACAAAATCAAGAAGGTTTATTTTTTAATGATTTGGTACGTTCCCACTCTCTAATGCTGTCTGAAAGAAAGAAATTTGTGATCCTTAACAATACTTAAGTTACAGACTTATAAAGTAAATAAGTTTTAAAATCACCAATGTTTGAAAAAAAATACTTTCTTGGTACCCTTTTTGTGGGTAACGTTTTCCATATGTTTGGGTCATATTTATTTAAAAAACTACGTTATTTAATTTTCTTCCAGTCTATAAAATTTTAGGCACCTAATTAGGGACACCCTGTAGAAAAATTGTAAACATATCTGGCGAATATTTAAATAAATAATAAAAAACATAATATAATTAAGTTTCTGAGAATTTCAATATAAGAAGAGTCACAAAACTAGTTTTTCCCTGGGAGAGAAGGTCAGTGGACGAGATAATTTTTTTAATATTTTTTAACTCCTATTATAAGTCATTCATTAATCGCATCATTAATAACAGCTACAAATATAAAGAGCAATCGTTAGGATTTATAAACTATGCAGATTTACTTGTAGATGATTGGAAAATCGTTGATCTTTACATATACTTCTCCATATTAGAAAAATTGGATTTGTTATTGGGAACATGGTTATTTCTAAATAAATACAAATTTTTTTTTATATAATAATAGACATGACCTTTCATTCCTGACCAGAAACTTTTCAATTTCTTTTATGAGATCTAAAAGAAACTATAATTAATTAATATTTTTAAGTTTAATACACTTAACAATTGTTTTTATATTCCTTATCGGGAACAATCAGGAACAAAAAATCATGTCTATTGTAGAAAGAAATTTTTGGTATTTATTTAAAAAGAACCATGCCTCCTATAACAAATCCATTTTTCAAATGTGAAGTAAATGATTGAAGAACAATTGTAACTGCATGTACATTGAACAAATAGTAACGATTTTTAACTGTTGTTTTATGCACAATATAATATTCCTATGTAGCTGTATTCAGGCCTTTAGGGCCATAGCTTTAGGGTTTTCTTCCACCTCGTTCTATCCTTAGCCTTTTCTCTCCAGTTAACCACATTTTTATCTTTCAAGTCCTGCATAATCGCCTCCATCCATGTTCTTCTTGGCCTTCCTTTTCTTTTCTTATTATCTGGCATCTTGTTAGCTATCGTTTTGACTATTCTCTCATTTCCCATCCTTTCCAGGTGTCCCAGCCACTGCAGCCTGCCTGTCCGAACTAATTCGCTAATCGGTGTTTCATTAAAAAGTTCGCATACTTCAGTTTGTTCTTCTTTCCCATCCTTCTTCCACCTTCTTCCCTCCAAAAATTCTTCGTAATATTCTTCTTTCTCACCTTTCAAATTGATTCTGGGTTCTCGTATTCATTGTCCACGTTTGTTTTATGTACAAGGTATAAATAAAATATGTGTTTAATCAGTCGATTTTGTAACCACACAGTTCGATCTATGCAGATAAATTTTACAATTTATCGTTACATGTGTAGTCATCAATAAATCGTGCCGTTAAAAATCCTTATAATTTGTTTCACCAACATATTACAAATAAATACATATGCAAACGCACAAAAATTGTGCAATTGTTACGATTTGTGTACTTGGAATAACAAATGTATTTTCTTCACAATTCGACAGTGTACGGAAATACAAAAGCAAATGTAAAAACAAGAATTCAACTGAATTTATTTTAATAACAAATTCGGTAGCCTATAAAAAAATTGAAAAATTCATACAGGGTGAGTCAGTTTTTTGTAGTAGGATTTTAACAGTTGATAGAGAATCATTTTTTAATAAGAAAAGTTCCTATAAACGTAGGTCTTAGAACGCTTCGTTTGTGAGATATAGGGTGTTGAAAACAAAGTTTTTTTAAGAATTTTTCTTAATATCTCTAAAAGACCAACATATATTGAACTGAAATTTGGTATTAATAACACATTAGTTATGGTGAATAAAACAAATATATCTGTTATCGATTTCACACACCAGTGACGTGCCTGAGGTGGGTTACTGCCCCCTTTAAAAAAATAATTCGTACGCCCTTGGATTTTTCTGGAAAATAACATCTTTTCTAATTTTTTTTATCAATTCTGAACAAAACACCTCTCTTTCAATTTTTTATAAAATGAACGGTTTTTGGTTAAATTCATTTGGCATGAAACTGTACCAACAATATTGGTAACACATTTGTAATAAGAAAAATATGATGTACCCTGAAAATCAACAAAAACGATTGTCAAATGTCATAACGTTGACATAAGAACGCAAACATTGTGTAACGTGTGTGTCAATTAGTTCTTTTTTTAAGTTCTGTGTTTATTTTTCATGCCAAATTTTAGTTTAATATCTGTTGGCCTTTTAGAGATATTAAGAAAAATTCTTAAAAATGTTTGTTTTCTACACACGTTTTAAGACCTATGTTTATAGGAACTTTTCTTATTAAAAAATATCAATATCTATCAACTGTGTATTATTCATTCAATCGTTTTTATTGATTTTCAGTGTATATCATATTTTTCTTATTAATTCACAAATGTATTAGGTAACAATATCGTTGGAACAGTTTCATGCCAAATGAATTTAACCAAAAACCCTTCATTTTATAAAAAATTGAAAGAGATATGTTTTGTTCAGAATTGATTAAAAAATTTAGAAATAATGTTATTTTCCAGAAAAATCCAAGGGCGTACGAATTATTTTTTTAAAGGGGGCAGTAACCCACCTCAGGCACGTCACTGGTGTGTGAAATCGATAACAGATATATTTGTTTTATTCACCATAACTAATGTGTTATTAATACCAAATTTCAGTTCAATATATGTTGGTCTTCTAGAGATATGAAAAATTCTTAAAAAAAGTTTGTTTTCAACACCCTATATCTCACAAACGAAGCGTTCTAAGACCTACGTTTATAGGAACTTTCCTTATTAAAAAATGATTCTCTATCAACTGTTAAAATCCTACTACAAAAAACTGACCCACCCTGTATATGCTGAGAAACGAACACTACTGGTGTAGTCGTTGCAGCAGGTACTACATATATTCCATTTGCGTTTTTATAGCTTTTGCGAATATTTGTGTCGATATGCATCATCTACATAATACGGCATTTACTTACAAATTGCATATATTTGGCATCATCAGCTATGCGAAATAACGTGGCTAAAAAAGTACCACGAACGTAATTATCGATTTCATCCATATTTAAAACATTTCTTGAAGATAACAAAATATATTTGAGATGTCAATCAAGTACAATTTTTTTATAACTACAAAAATGGACCCTTTATAGAAAATGGAAGTTTCATAACATAGAATAGTGGAAGAGGTATTTAAAGAATAATCTTATTCAGAACTGAAACCAAGATAGGGAAATTAGTGTTACAGACACAAAGTGATATGAGAATTTTGAAGCACTTTTATTTTAGTAATAGATATAACTTTAAACTTTACTATGTTGCTGTGCCATATCCACGTACCTAGTTAACACGTATAATTCACTTCTTTAGTCTCAATTAGGAATATCTGATCTTCCCTTGTTGTTCATGGACTAGGCTCTGTGAGGGCGAACCTACTATCAGAACACTAGGACCGCCCTAATATTGATTTAGATTCTTATTGTTGGTTCTAAGGTCGTTACGAACGGAAACGCTTCTCAAACAATTGTAATCCTTTGAGAAGTTCCGTAGTGATTTCTTTAATTGGTCACATCCAAGTTTCCAAACGTTTCGTACCCTATTGTCAGCAACTTCAGTGGCGACTCTGCAAAAGATTCGCTAGTACATTTATTTTCAGTTCAAATGGGTAATTAATATGAACTTGTATTTAAAATCCAATTCCAATCCAATTTCCGAGTTATAAATAAGTTAACTGAAAAGTAAAGATTAGGGGAAATCTCACGCAAGTAAATGTACTGTCTTTGCGTTAAGGTTATGCAACCAGAAATACTACTGTAGCAGTTCTGGAGAGAGAAATGGCACTACCATAGTTTGAACAAGTTGTGATGATACGTTGTACCTTCTAAATTATAAATTTTAGTATGTTTTGACATGCTGTTTTAATTTCCGTATTTAGAAAATCTAAATGAACATAAATAGTAAACCATCTGCCCGTTTGTATTTCTGTATGTATATCTCATAAAAAGGGAAAATATAGGTTGAGAAAACGTAGATAGTCTGTTGCAATTATATTTTATTTATAAAGCAAAAATTTGTAAGCATTATATACCTGTAAATTTTAAACCTATGTGAGGGAAATCTGGAAAACGTTGGTGTGTAAATTCTAAGTTATCTAGTAACCAACTTGTATAGTTGGTTGCCTGCTCTCGATCCAAAGTTTAAAAACCGATGTTTAATTATTTATAACTAAACTTGTTACTTCTTATAATATAATATTAATTTCATTCGTGTAGTTGCATCCAGTGATCATTTTAGTGGAGGTTAGATCAAGTATTTTATGAATTTCGTTATTTTTTTGCAAAAAATAAAGCTACAGATGAAAAATTAAGACGATCACTGTTTATACTGGTCATTTTGATACAATAATTTCTTTTTTGTGGAGGAGGTACGATTTTTTATGGATGAAGACAAAAAAATAAAGACGCCCGTATTAAGAGCAGGTAATATTCTTCAGAAGTGTGGAATAACAAATATTTTGAATATGTTGGAAGTGGGAGAGGAGTTTTGCTAAAATAAAACACATACTGAAGGAATGAAGGAATAAATAGTAAATAAAATACTTAAGCTTTTATTGATATTAATTTAAGCAAATAATAACAATACTATACCATTGGCGATGTCAGGTGGAGGTGTCCTTTGATGGAAGTTTAGCTACTCAATGAAAACTTTTAACTTTATTTCCAATGTACGTAGTTATGAAAAAAATTGTATATTTTTTATAGAAATAATATGAAAATATATATTTATTACCTTCATAAATGCTTACAAGCTAAGCCATGTGACAAGCCATTTTGTTTAAAATGGTAGTCTTATTTCCTTTACGTTTTATCGGGTTTATTCAACCGTTCAGTGATCGCATTATCTCGAGCGTAAATGGAACGGTTTGTCATTGTTCATTGTAAACGAATGATTAATATTGATGACACTAACGTTTACAGATCGTGTGGCTTGTAATCATTTATGAAGGCATTGTATATAATATATTGAAATTTATACAGATACTTTTCTATTTTACAAATCACCTTTTACCTTTTGATTAACAATTGCCTTTCAATCACTCCATGTAATTTCTTCATTTTTAATTGCTCAGAGACTGCGCCTATTCTAGGTCGCGTATCTTGCGTTTAACTTATTCAATGAAAAATCTCAGTTCTTCGTGACATCCTTCTTGTGCCCGCTCACAAATAAATGTACTAATCAGCCTTAATTGACCAAGGGGTTCCGAGAATGGGTCAGGAAATTGATCCGTCTGATGTCTGGCTCTTAATGTGTATGAGGGTATCAGTTGATGATTTGATTTAATTGATCTTGTTAATAGTGGTCTCTAAATGTGTTTGGACTTTGTTTACTAATCCCTACGAGTCTGAAAATTAAAAAAAGAAAGAAAAATGAATTGAAATGGAATTTTAAGTACCTATCTTTCTATCAAAATAGTGTATAAAATATTAAATTAAATTGAATTCATTACATTCTAAATACATAAAAATATATTTTTGTAATGATGAATTAAGATGAAAAAGAACAAGATCCATGATTCATTTAAAAATTATTTCAACTTCATATATTTTTAAGTAAGAGAGCAACAGGGATGATGGAAGTAGAGAGTTACGTCCACATCACTCTTCATAATAGACGTGAAGGTATTTTTAAACTAAAATTACTTATTAATTATTACTTCCAAGGAAGAATACTCTTTTATTCAATACTTTTTTCAAAAATTGTTTAGAAGACAAGCTAAGTTTTTTTAAGTTAGTATAATTTGTTGTTATACCATTTGGTTACATAAGTATAATATTTGCATCGGAGTATAAATGATAAATAATCCAATAAAATAATTTGTGGTGCAAGAATGGAATATGTGAATAAGTTGCATCACTTTTTTATTTTTAAATTTACAGCAGATGAAAGATAAGTAATATTAAAATATATTTCGCCGGTTTGGATTTATTGACATTTTGAATCGCCCCTTTCTTTAGCGGAAACTATAAAACTGAAGATAAGTCCTCTGGATGCTATTTATTATATTCTGGTGCATTATTTGAAGTCACTGGGCCCAGGACGTCTTAGCCCTCGATTTTTAGAGTGGTTTTCAAGTTCCAGGTATTTTAACCTTTCTCTCAGTTGTAATTCTGTTTTTTTTTATTTGTAGGGCTTCTCTATGG